AAAAAAAAAGTGCAACATGTTGTGTGCATATTTATGAGGAGGTAGGTCAAATGCTTCGAATGGGTTACGAGGCGTTTCCCCTTGGCCACCTCCGCTCCATTTAATTTTGTTTCTTTCGTTTCAGTTTGATTGTAGGCGCCGCCATTTTTTAAATATTTATGCAAATGTACGTACAACTGCAACGGCAAGTGCAGCAGCGTGTGTGCATGAAGCGCGTCTTCCCCCAGTTCTTAACCAATCCATTTTGAATGAACCGCTACCGTTTTTACCAAATGTTTGGTCTCTACAATAGGTTTGAATTTGAACAATTCCCTCTTTTTTTTTGGTACGAATAAGGATGTATATTGTGCACACGCGATGTAGATCATTTTTAAGGGCATAATTTTATCCCTGTGGTCATAACTAATTCCGTTGGGGATGCCCAACGGGCTTCCTACAAGTGAACATGCACACATGTCAATGAGCAGCCGAATGAACGAGCAGCAGCAATGAGAGGAGGAATATGTTTCCCTTTGCGGACATCACCTTTTGAGGGATACTCCTGTTAACGGCGTTCGTTTTAATGATTGTAATTATGTTCGCTTTAGCAAAATTTGAGCGACATTAAAATGTATAAAGTTTTCGAGGCATACGAAAAAATGGACGGCAGCAAGGCCTGGCAGCTAAATGGTTAGGAAACCAAATGATCATGCAGCCAACGGACCAAGTAGCCAGCTAGCTAAAAATTAAAAAAAAAAAAAAAAAAAAAAAAAAAAAAAAAAAACGTACCAACTGTCGAGCAAACCTGCGAAGCAGCCCCCCCAGTAGCGCTAAAGCAAACTCTCCCAATTAAACCCCAACCACCCCACGAACACATCGAACAAACAACACGTAAAAGCCGGAAGATGAATTTAGCTATGGATAAAAAGAACAACCCGATAGATGATGAGCTACCAAACGATTTTGTACTACCCAAGGGAGACAAAGTAAAAGGGGAGAAGCTATTCAAGAAACACTGCAAGCAATGTCACTCCATAGCCCCAGACAACACACAATCCAATTCGGGGTTCACAAGTTGGGGTCCCTCATTATTTAATGTTTATAACAGAACTGCTGGAATGAGCAAAGGCAATTCTCCTTTTCAAGTATCACCTGATATGCACTCGTCAGGCATTATATGGAATGACCTAAATTTAATGAAGTATATGAAGAACCCCAAAGATTTTGTAGAAGCAAACATTGGTATGAACTTTAAAGGAATTTCAAATTTTCAAGATAGGGTTGACATCGTTCACTACTTAAAAACACTTACGTATGATGATCCATATGGAAGGGAAATTGTGAAGAAATATTCCAAAAAAAAAAATTAACATTTTACACCTTGCCCGTCTGTTCCAAAAAAAAAAAAAAAAAAAAAAAAAAGTGCAACATGTTGTGTGCATATTTATGAGGAGGTAGGTCAAATGCTTCGAATGGGTTACGAGGCGTTTCCCCTTGGCCACCTCCGCTCCATTTAATTTTGTTTCTTTCGTTTCAGTTTGATTGTAGGCGCCGCCATTTTTTAAATATTTATGCAAATGTACGTACAACTGCAACGGCAAGTGCAGCAGCGTGTGTGCATGAAGCGCGTCTTCCCCCAGTTCTTAACCAATCCATTTTGAATGAACCGCTACCGTTTTTACCAAATGTTTGGTCTCTACAATAGGTTTGAATTTGAACAATTCCCTCTTTTTTTTTGGTACGAATAAGGATGTATATTGTGCACACGCGATGTAGATCATTTTTAAGGGCATAATTTTATCCCTGTGGTCATAACTAATTCCGTTGGGGATGCCCAACGGGCTTCCTACAAGTGAACATGCACACATGTCAATGAGCAGCCGAATGAACGAGCAGCAGCAATGAGAGGAGGAATATGTTTCCCTTTGCGGACATCACCTTTTGAGGGATACTCCTGTTAACGGCGTTCGTTTTAATGATTGTAATTATGTTCGCTTTAGCAAAATTTGAGCGACATTAAAATGTATAAAGTTTTCGAGGCATACGAAAAAATGGACGGCAGCAAGGCCTGGCAGCTAAATGGTTAGGAAACCA